AGTTCGGATCTAGAAATACTTGCCAGATTTCAGATCGATGGTTTCATATCTGGAAAGACTCATAGGAAGATCATCAGTTTTGTCTTTACTAAACATCTCAAGTGAAGCGAAGGTAGAGGTGGTTGTGCTCCGATGAATGAAGATCACTGGAGCACAAGTGCTCCAGTCGTATTTTCTTTTTTAGAACAGGGATAGATTTTTTGAAGAGAGGGAGAGAGAGAGAGAGAGGTAGGGTTAGGTGATATTTTTGTTTTAGCTTTTTATTTTAATTAGTGTAATAAAAAGAAATTTGAAAAAGCAAAAGGGAGGGGCAAAATTGTCATTATAAAAAGGGATAATGACTTGAGAGGTTAACGAACTTTCAACTTTGTTCGCATTTAGTTATTAGATTTTTTTGGTGCTTGATTTACCCCTGAATTATTTGAAATTGTTCACATTTCACCCTTATGACCGACTATAACCGGTCATAAGGGTAAAATATGAACAATTTCAAATAACTTAGGTGTAAATCAAACACGAAAAAAGTTTAATGACTAAATGTGAAAACAATTGAAAGTTTCTTACCCTTTCAAGCCATTATCCCGTAAATGGTTCTAAATGTTATTAAGAATGAGCACAAGCTAAATATGAATGTCACAAAAGTGAGGATGTTGTAGTAACCGTGTGATATACCTTTATTGTGTAAGATACTAGAAACAACACTTAGAAATACAATATAAGTGACTTTAATCACATAGAAATTGAAGAAACAAAGATTGTTGTGGTTTCATACATATACGTAGGACATATGCAACGGTTTTCACTCAAGAGGGTGGAGACGGTCGTTGTAGATCGTGCGAGGACGAGAGAACATATGATAAAGAAGCATGAAGATAATGCAGTGTTAAATTTGAATGAGGTTTTCTCTTTACAAGGACATGAGCTTTGATTAGAGAGTGTGGATGCATAAGATCAAGGTTGTGGAGTAGTACATGAGTAGTCTAGGTGCTAGTTGTCTTTACATTGTTTGTGCATTTTGCCTAGTTTTCACTGTTTTTACTTTCAACTTGTTTTATCGATACCTTTCTTCATAGTTATTATTTGTATCTACATTTTCTATTTGTATGTTGGTTCTATATGTACTTTCTCACTATGCTCATTTTTATTTTCGTTCTATTTTTTGTTTTATTGCTCGTATATGTGTCTTTTTGCCTTTGTGAAACTCTACTGATTATTTCTTCTTTGTGTGTTGGCGTTTCACTTATATGTGAATAAAGAAACTCTAGTTAAAAGTTTATCTCATTGACTAGGATTAAAGCAATGAAAATACTCCTTACAAACTCAACACAAAACAAATCGTAGTGACTGAAATCAAAATTATTAATCTAAGTAATTGGCTGCTACCAATAACAAAAATAAACTAAGAGATGATTACAAAAAGAGATAATGACTTGAAAGGGTAACAAACTTTCAACTAGTTCATATTTAGTCACTGAACTTTTTTTTGTGTTTGATTTACCCATGAATTATTTGAAATGTTCACACTTTACCCTTATGACTGGTTGTAACCGGTTATAAGGGTAAAATGTGAACAATTTCAAATAATTCAGGGGTAAATCAAGCACGGAAAAAAAATTAGTGACTAAATATGAAAAAAGTTGAAAGTTTGTTACCCTCTCAAGTCATTATCCCTTATAAAAAAGTTCAAAGCAAATTGGCCAAACTCACAAAAAATGAAAAGTTTGGACCTCTGGTGCTAGTCCAAACCTTTTTTTAACAAAAATGACAATTTTTCAACTAACCACAGGGACCATTTTTGCAGTTTTGTCCAAAAAAAACTAGTAAAAATAAACGTTGACCGGGGTATATGGTAAAGTAAGCGTTTAGCGAGTACATGATCATTTTGTAAATGTTTACAGATATCCTAGCTTAATCATAAAAGAAAACAAAAATGATTTTTTTTTAACAGCAAATCTACTCCACTCATAAACTACTCCTAAATCTATCTATTAACGTGACTAAAACCCTTGACTTCAATGAGAGATGACAACAACTGATACCGCTAGGCTAAAAGGCTTATGGTGACTTTTAAGGTCAAAATTTATGGACTAAGATTTAGACTATTAGATATGGACAACATATTAAGACATGTTATCACATGTCATGTCACCTATGGTGTTAAAAATTAATTAAGAAAATGGTGTTGAAATGTTATAACATAGAGATAGAGAGAGAAAAAAAAAGAACGAAGAAGAAAATAGTGATTGGTTGATTTCTCCCGTTGAAACATGTTATCATGACTAGGGCTGGCAAAATTGTACCACGGGAAACCAACCAACATGTTACCAACCGAACCAATAAACTTGGTAGCCAACATGTTTGGTTGGTAGTACCGTACAAATTGATCAACGTTGGTACGGTAATGGTACAAAAATTTGAATATCATGGTAATACCGTACCAACCAATTTATATATATATATATATATATATATATATATATATATATATATATATATAAATGAAATGGTATATTTCAACTATTAATTGTGTTTAGTGTTTACAGTTTTAATAACATTATATTAGTCATTTGATTGTATTAGTCGATAGTTATTACCACGTTAAAGCACAAAATTAAAATGTTACTTTAGCGTTACTTTAGTATAATTCTTTTATAAACAAAAAGAACTACGTAACTAATTTCTATACTAAACATTAAATCCCGCTATCTTTATTTTAGTAGAATTCTTTTGTAAACAAAAAGAACTACGTAACTAATTTCTATACTAAACATCAAAATCCCGATGTCTTTGCTTATTTTTAAATGTTATAATAGAAAATTAAAAGAAGTTGGTATATACCATTACCAACTTTTACCAACTAAACATGTTGGTAGCCAAATAAATTGGTACCAAGTATACTTGGTACGGTAGTAGAAATTTTTTTATACCGATTATAGTTGGTACGGTACACGGTTTAGAGAAAAATAAATCGGTACCGTACCAATTCCACCCCTAATCATGACCACATCTTATAACATAACACCCTACCCCTTAACATCTAAGGCTGGAGGGAGTGGTGCCACCGAAACCGCACTCCCTCCCCCGCCACATAAGCGTCATGTCATTTTTTACCACACAAGTGTGGTTTCTTGCCACACCAAGGGTGTGGTGCCACACTTTTATTTTCTTTTATTTTTTTGTTTTTTTTGTTAACTATTTTAATTTAATAAAACTTATTTTTTTTAATAAAAAAACATAATTTTAAAAAGATAATATTTCATTAATTAAAAATACAAATACCATACATTACTTAACTTAAAAAAAAAAACCTAAAAATTTAGAAAAACAAATTAGAAACATAAAACCTACAACTTAAAAAAAAAACACACACACACACCAAAAGATTAAAAACTTGAAAAAAAAAACTAGAAATTAGCCACGATTGATGTAACGTTTTTTCACTTCCTCCTTCATCGCCAAAACCACTTCAAGCTCGGAGCCGGTCATATTCGACGTGTCCGTCGCTAGTATTCGCATGTCGCTCTCCCTTTGTTTCCGAAGCTCTCTTTCAGAAGCAATTTGCAAAATCTTGTTCATTCTGTCTTTTATACCCTTCATCTCGGCTCCCATTTCTTTCAAATCATCTGAATCCGACGCTTTGCCTTTGCCTTTGCTTTTTGCTTTGTCTCTTCCCATTGGTCGGGAAGGTGGTGAAACTGGAACATGTTCATCTTCGTTCAGATCAAAATGAACACGAGCATCTGATGTAGTGTGGTCGGACTCAAATGTTCTGCTGCATTTTGAACCACTGTCGATATGCTCGTCTGATGTTTTGCTACTCAGCCTTTTCCTGTTATCTTTCAAAAAATTCCAAACTTCAAGAAACTTAAAAGCCTTCAGATTTTCTTTTTGATACACTTTCAACGCTTTCTTCAAAATCACTTCATCGCTTTCTCCACTTTTCCATTGACGTTTCATGTTGTTCCACAAGTCATTAAACAACATGACTTCCTTGTTCATCTTCCCCCATTTGGAGTACACTTGATGTTTTGAACGGTATTTTCTACGGTTCATTCCTTTATGGAACCTGTGTAAAACGCGAATCCAAAAACGGTCATGCTTTTGGTCTTTTCCAACTGTCGCATCTTCTGAAATATCGATCCAAGATTGTGCCAACACTAACGCTTCCAAAGGTTCCCAACATCTAGCCTCCGCCTTCTCTTTTTCTTTTAGTTGCTGCTCGAGTGGGCTGAGTTTCTGTAACGAATTCCGGTTCAGAATCAGAAACAACCGTTTCTGGTTGTGTTTGTGTTTGTTGAACAAACTCGGGTTGAGACAAAAAATCAAATGGATTAAAATCCGGGTCGGGTTGTGATAGTGGTGGTGTTTGTGATAGTGGTTGCGCTGGTCGTTGTGGAAAATACGGAAGCATACCGCCGTAGTGGTAAAACGGAGGTGAGAAAATCGGTTGATCAAATGAAGGTATTGGGGTGTTCGTGTTTCTGACTGGTGTTTTTTCTTTGCTAGGCCTTTTGGAAGAAGACATTTTTTCAAAAAAAATTGGATGAAAAGATTGTGTAAATATTTGTTTAAAGTTGGAGTGAAGGTGGTGAAATAGTTAAAATGGTAATATATATATATATATATATATATATATATATATATATATATGGAGTAATGGTTAAAAAAAAAAAAATTACACGAATCCTTAACCGTCAAACTTTGGGAAAATGACTAGCCAATCACCATTCGCGGTCTTCTATGGCCGCACGAAACCGTGCCCTGGGGGCGGTGTTCTATGGCCACCTGTCACCCTCGCGGTTTGGAACTGCACCCACATCGAAGAGCCTAACATCAAAGGGGAGTGGGGAACACCATAACACCGTATGTATTGGCTTCGCCCATACCCACCACCCCTTTATGGGTTTCTCGTGTAAACAAAATGGAAATCACGTGTTATGGAACAAAAAATAGAAAGGAGAAAGACACGTAAAACTAACTGTAAGACATTCGAGACGCAGGGGAACCATAACGATCAGCACGAATTCATGAATGCTGAATTACTGATAACTGATCATGGGGTTGTTCAATCAACAAATTCCCTCCACCACCGTGTCAACAACCACATTTCTCTGTTAGTTTCCTGATCTTCTTTTACCATTTTCCTATTCCAAGTTTGATCGATTGCCACTGAATGAATCTTCCCTATTGCGGACCTTAATGATGAACTGAATGAATAAGAGCTCAGCAACTTGTGTTCGTGTAATTCCCTTCTCTATTCTGTGAATCTCAACATGTTGAACTGTTTGATTAATTTTCAAATCGCATTAGTAACTTGCTCTTTAGTATCGTACCAGTATATAGCTTCAATTTGAGCTTGAAATGAAAATTAGGGCTATCCTACTATGAAATCAATGTATTCAAGTTTCTCTGCTTCACTCACATTGCTATTTACGTATTCCTCCGTTGTTTCTTACTTCAGGTGTGTTTCATCTTAAATGGCGGCAATTCTGGACAATCAAAGCTTCTCAAGCTCGTTTTCTCTTCAAAACCTGGATACTCATGAACGTAATTCCCCTAAAATCGAGAGGTTTCACAGGTTTCGTATTGAGATGCAGAAGAGAGAATCAAAATCCCCCATGAAAAGTGGCATCAATGGTAAACCTAATGGAAAACCCCTAAACATGGATCGTATCCCAATACCCATGGTTCCTATAACCGAAGCAATGAAGAAGATGACTCAATCTGAAAAACGACCAGTAATTCTTACCAGATTAACACAGATTGTTAATAGAGAGACCACTTCAGCCATTGAAGTTAAAAAACCTTCAATCGAAGGATCAAACATCTTGCCATCAGATGAAAGCTTTAGCTGGGCAAATGAGAATTACAATCCAGTTCAAAGAACATTAGATTTATGTTCTTTCGTTATTTCCCTCCATCTTCGTCTTCTACTCAACAACTCAAAATGGTCATACCCTAGAGGCTTCACAGAAATCAAACAGGTTTAACTTCACTAAACTCATCATTTAAACTTCAAAATCTCCTTTTATCAATCCACTCTTTGTATTCAGAAAACCAGAAGAAAAAAAACCGCATCATGGTTAAGAGAACGTGTGTTGCAACTTGGTCCAACTTTTATAAAGATTGGACAATTATCATCAACAAGATCCGATCTATTTCCACATGAAATCATACACGAACTTGCTAAGTTACAGGTATAAAACTATAAATATAACTTCATCTCTTTTCATATCACATTGACATATTCCATTTTTTTTATGAAATGAAATCATACATTTCAGGACAGAGTTCCTGCCTTTTCATCAACAAAAGCAAAGTGTTTGATTGAGAGAGAATTAGGAGCTCCAGTTGATGAACTGTTCAAGGAGTTTGAAGATCAACCAATTGCAGCTGCTAGCCTAGGTCAGGTAAATTATGTTTCTATTACCTGTAATTTTAATATATGGAGTTTAGATGAAAGTTTTTTTTTTTTTTTCTTAAGGTACATAGGGCTATACTGCATAATGGAGAGAGGGTAGTTGTGAAAGTTCAAAGACCTGGTCTCAAGAAGCTTTTTGAGATTGATTTAAGTGAGTATGCATCTTAAAGAAACTATTATGGTTTTGTGGTTTACATTTTACAATTTTGCCCTTTGTTCTTCCAGGAGTTTTGAAGCTAATTGCAGAGTATTTTCATAGAAATGAAATTCTTTGTGGTCTGACAAAGGACTGGATGAGGATCTATGAAGAATGTGAAAAGTAAGCATCCAATTATGTCTTTTAGTTATATAGAGAGTAAATTACACAAATGGTCCCTCTAGTTTGATGAAAATAGCAGGTTCAGTCGAATTTCGATTTTTCTTGCATGGCGCTTCTTCATGGTTTCATTTTCTTGAAACTTTGGTCCTTCTCACTAACACCCTTGGGAATGAGGCATTAAGCCCTAGTAAAATGACCATTTTACCCTCATTGATTTAGTTTTTGTTTTATGTTTTAAGTATATAAGTAATAAGAATAATAGTTAAGTGAAATATATAACAGTTTAAAAAGACAAAAAACCACAAAAGGAACCACAAGTATGATCCATGTAAGAAAAAGTAAAATTGGACCGAACCTGTTATTTTCACGAAACCACAGGGACCATTTCTGTAATTTACTCTTGTATTTATTTGCAGGATTCTATACCAGGAGATTGATTATGTAAATGAAGCCAAAAATGCTGAAAGATTCCGTCGGGATTTTCGTAATATTAAGTGGGTCCGTGTGCCTGTATGTAAATATTCCTGGAGTCATAGTAAAATGACTATTTTACCCTTGGTTTAGTTTTTATTTGATGTTGTATCTTCATTCATATCTCATGTAGCAAGTTTTCTGGGATTATACTGCAATGAAGGTGCTTACATTGGAGTATGTTCCAGGTTTCAATCACAACTCCATATAATATAATCACTTAGAAATACTTTTAGAAACAAAAAAATAATTTAATTCAAGTTTTACATTTTTTTTAAAATATTGTTGTTATTAAAGTTTAAAAAAGATATGAATTTCTATCATTTAAGTCGCGTCTACAGTTATAATTTCTTTCTACAGGAATTAAGATTAATAATTTAGATGCGATAGATAAAAAGGGTTACAATCGATCTCAAATTTCTTCACGTGTAATTGAAGCATACCTAATTCAGGTTTCAAAAATCTTACCTTTTTTTTATATATCCACCATTTCTCCATCTCTTTTCATTAAAAAAAATAAGAAAAAAAATGGCTATAATATACAGATACTGAAAACGGGTTTCTTTCATGCTGATCCTCATCCTGGAAATCTTGCTATTGATGTTGACGAATCATTAATCTATTACGATTTTGGGATGATGGGCGAGATTAAATCTTTAACAAGAGATAAAATATTCGATCTTTTTTATGCTGCTTACGAAAAAGATGAAAAAAAGGTACATATTTTTTTTAAGGTTAATTACATAAAAGTCCTTACGACTATGTTTGACAGACTAGCTGATAGCTGAAAGCTAACTGCTAGCTTATAAGCTAGTTGACAAAAAATAACGTTTGGTAAAAACTAGCTAATAAGCTAGCTGAAAGATATAAAATGACATAAAAGAAAATTTAGAATGATACGTTTTTTGTAATTAAATAAGGGTATATTTAGGAAATTTTTAAAAAACTCCTAAAAAGCTACTCAAAGTAACTTTTTAAAAAGCTATCTTATCAGCTACTTTTTGGTTTGCCAAACGTAACAATTTAAAAAAGCTCGAAAATAAGCTAGCTTATCAGCTAGTTGAGGCGCGCCAAACACAGCCTATATATCGTTTTTTTAAGAGCAAACCTAAACTTTTTTTTTTTAAGAAACAGTTGCATTTTTCATTTTTTTTTCAATTTGACCCGTACACTAATCCATATTTTAGATTTGGCCATTACATTTTTCCTTTTTTTCAGATTAAAACCTCACATTATTATTTTTTTCTAAAAAATCTCTTGCATAGATTGTGTAAAACTGGAAAATTACCGGTAAACCTGCTAAAATGGCCAAATCGGAAAAACTGAAAATTTTAAAGATTATTTTTTTGAAAAAAGGTTTAATTCGGAAAGAACCTAATATTAAGGTCTTTTATATAATCAACCCTTTTTTTTAATAGAAAATTTTAATCTTTTCTATGGTATTGACACTTAAATATCAATAATCATGAAGGTTATGAATAGTTTAATAAATCTGGGAGCGATTCAACCTACTGGAGACATGTTAGCAGTATGTAATTTTTATTTTTCACTTAAAAATGTTTTAATTATCTTAAAATTAAACCACTAGGCACTAACCATTTTATTATAGGTGAGGAGATCTGTGAAGTATTTTATGGAAAATTCAATAAATCAAATGCCAAATAAGCACACGAATTTAGCTGCTATAAGTGAGGTAAGCATTTTATAAAAAAATTTGGAAATATATGATATGATTGATGAAAATGTTGTTAATTTGTTTGCAGGATTTATTTGCTATAGCAACAGATCAACCTTTTAGATTTCCAGCCACCTTCATCTTTGTAATGAGGGCATTTTCAACCCTTGAAGGTTGAATCTTTAACCTATTTATACCCCTCATCAAACTATTTATAAACTAAAGTGGCTATAACGTTGTGTAACTTTCAGGAATTGGTTATACACTTGATCCAAAATTTTCTTTCATCAAGATTGCTGCACCTTATGCACAGGTTATTTAAGAATTAAGATTATCTTAATTCTTAAGTGTTATTTCTAGAGCTATTTTTTATAATGAAGATGAGAACATTAACGTCTTTTTGCCAAATTAAATACAGGAATTGTTGTACCTCAAACAAACACAACACACTGGAACACAACTTCTCCAAGAAATACAAAAACAAGCTGATAATGTAAGACATGATTTTACACCATACTTTTTCTTCCTTTTTTTTTTATTAATAATTAATTCCCCACTAAACTTACCTTTTATTTTTATAAATTTGGAACAATTTATAAATTTATCGAATATAACAAACACTTTCAGGCAAGATCATACACCATGTCAATGCCTTACAGAGTCCAACACATTGAAGACTTCATCAAACAAATTGAAACCGGAGACCTTAAACTTCATGTCAGAGTCCTAGAGGTAATTTTACCATTTTACACTTTTTAAATTTTCTCCATAATTTAATCTTTTTCTTATTTGCATATATATCAGTCTGAAAGAGCAGCTCAAAAGGCAACAATATTGCAAATGGCTACCATGTATACAGCTATCTGGTGTATGCTTATTAATCTTGGTGTTATATTAACCATTCATGGAAACCTATTTTTAGCAAATGGATCATTTATTAGTTCAGGTGTGTCATTGTCATATTTTCTATTATTTTCTCAAAAAAAAAATCAATTTAGTTACTGAAAATCTTTTTTTCGTTTTTCTACATGCAGGTTTTCTTCTAGTGTTATTTCTTATGTCTATGCATAGGGTAAAAATGCTTGATAATTTCAAAAATATGATTTAACCATTGTTACAATAAGGTAAAAAAAATCTTATTTTTCTGTATAAGTACATTGCTATTTTTACCTACCTCCATGATTTGTATCTTCAAGGTGGCAAGCTCAAAGCTTTTTAATACCCCGAAGTTTGTTTGACCTGAATAAAGTCAAATAGTCAACAAAAAAAAGTCAAACCAAACGGTTTGTTTTAATGTTTTCTATTAACATTACAAAAGAAAGACTGATATGGCTTACCTCAATCCCAAGGCTTTTCATTTACAAAACTACCCCTTTCTCTGTTTCCCTTTCTGGGGTTTTTGATCTTTGAAAGTCAACAAGTCAAAACACAAAGTCAACACAAAGAAACCCTTTTTAGTCATTTTATCACATTCCCATTTGGCTTCTTTCGGGTTCTTGATCTTTAGAAGTCAACAAGTCAAAACGTGAAGATAACACGAAACCCTTTTTGGTCATTTCACGACTCAATTCCTTAGCTTTCTCCAAATCCCCAATCTTGTAACAACACTCCACAAGAGCATTATACAGAAAGCTATTTACCAAAACGCCCTTCTCCACCATTTCATTTAACAACCCACACGCTGTATCTAAATCTTTAAACTTGCATAAACCAATGATCATTGTACCATTTGTGACATCATCCGGACTCAAACTTTTTTCCTTAATTTCATCAAACAAATCTTTGGCTCTCTCTTTGTCACCAATCTTAAAAAAACCCTTCAATAAAACATTATAAGTATGAATACTTGAAGAAAACCTGGTACCTTCTAGAAGCTTCCAAGCTTCTAGAACTTTTCCTTTCTTACACAAACTCAATACAACCGAGTTGCATAACGAAACATCAAGAACAAAACCCTTGTTCTTAAACTCAACCAAAACCCTAGAAACCGCTTCTAATTTTCCATATTTTATAAGTCCATCAAGAAAGATTTTATACGTATAAATTTCCGAAAAAACCTTTTTAGAAAGCATACATCTAAATATCGAAAACGTGTCGATTAAATCACCATTTTTGCAATTTTCCTCCATTAAAACTTTATAAGTTTCAATATTTGGGACTAACCCATGACCTATCATCGTGTAGAAATACTTATTAGCAATCTTTAATTCACTTAAATTGCAATACCCTTTAATAAAAGCTCCAAAAATACACGCATTTGGCTCTAAATCATTCTCAATCATTTCATCCATTAAAGATCTTGCTTCCACCATTTTCTTTTCTCTACAAAGACTCCCAATAACACTCGCGTAACAAAACACATTCGGTTTTTTCCCTTCTTCCTTCATCGCCTCAAAAACCCTAATCGTATTTTCATAATCATTTTCTTTCGATACATAACTTAAAAGAACCTCATACACCATGTCATCAATTTCAAGATTCTTCGCATCTTTCAAAAGCGTGTATGCCTTTTCAAGATCCCGAATGTGACACAATCCGATAATCAAAACCCCGTAAATTCTCGCATTTGGTTCCAAATCTACCCTTTTCATCTCCTCAAAAACCCTAAAAGCATCAACCATTTGTCTCTCTTTACAATACCCTTCAATCAACAAACTAAAAGTTCTAAAATCCGGTTTCACGCCCTTTTTATTCATCTCGTTCACTACTTCATTTGCTTTTTCCATCATATGCCCCTTGCATAAACCGTGAAGAATCGTATTATAAACAACCAAATTTGGGCCCACACAACTACCAATCATCTTATCTTTAACCCTCAATGCGGAGTCCACATCACCATTTGACATAAACCCATTGACCAAAGCATTATACATCACAAAATCCGGATCTAAACCCATGTCACTCATCTCTTTCAATATCATTTTTGCATCTTCAAATCTCTTCTTTCTGCAATATCCATGGAGTAACGTATTATATATGAACACGTTAGGTACTAATCCCTTATTAATCATATTTTTCTTGATTTCAATCGCTTCATTAATCCTCCCGGATTTACATAAACCATGAATGATCACATTATATGTGACTAAATTAGGGTTACACCCTTTCTCCCCCATTTCAAGAAAAACCTTTTTTGCATTCTCAACATTTCCCACCATACAATGAGCTTTGATCATGTTAGTATACACATAAACATCTAAAGAACCGATTTTTTTCAATACAACTTCACAAACTTTCCAGAAAAGTTCTAGCTTCTTGACATTAATCAAGTCTTTTAGAAACGAACTGAAAAACAGAGGACTAGGGACAAATTTGTCATTTCGTAACAGGATCTCACCAGCTTCATCTAGTAAACCCTTTACCCTAAACCTATCCACAATCACTTCAAAAACCTTGGGATTTAAATTAGAATGCAAATCGAATTTCTCATTATAACAACTTACGAAAGAATCCCAAATCGTGATCGGAGATAAGCCCGTCGTAATCATTGCGTCAATTACAAGACTAACGCATCCATACAAGTTAGAGTTGCATAAAGTAATGGCGAAAAGCGTCGTCGTTTTGGAATTTGATTGAATGCTCGCCTGGTTTTCTCGAAGTAGAAGTTGGATGACGTGTGGGTTTAGTTTTCCGGGCACGTGTGAAACAGGTAGAGTGGATTCCCAGTTGTCTGATTGAAGAATGGATTTGATTTCAGTGAGTAAGCGATGATTCTGCTTGGTGGAAGTGGAAATGAGTGTAGAAGATGAAGATATGGATCTTTTGATGGCATTTTGATGAACACTCGACGAATATTTGGGGTTTTTCAGAAGGATTTTCCGCATTATGGTTGTGTATATATGAACTGATGATTATTGGTTGGGTGAATTGAAAGCGATAGCGTTCAATCGTAAGTTGAATAGAAAAAATTTACAGATTCCCATGGTCTTTAGCTCTGAGTGAATGGAAAATTGACATTGAATTAGGGCAATTGTTCATGGAGATTTGGGGGTGTTGGGAACGACGGCGGAAGTGCTGCAATGTCACTCATTGAGACTGAGTTTCCGGTTCACTTTGGGCTTGGCCCATGGGCTAACGGTGTTATTTCTATAAACATAGTTTTTAGAAACTTGCTTTTTTACATATTTTTCTAGAGTATTAAATACAAAGTTCTAATTTATTCTTTTAGTATGAATTATGTAATTTGATTATATAAACATAGTTTTTTATATAATTCGTCATTTTTTATGATATTTTATTACTTTTTATATATTCCTCATGTTATATTTTTCGAACTAACACTGATCTCTACTATAATGTCATACAAGCCCTAGTTATATATAATTGTTGCCAGTTTAGATTAATTAAGTTTTTGTCCTTATATTATCAAATATTTGTAGAAATGGTCCTATTTAACTGGAAAATTATAGAAATGGTCTGCGTATCATAAAATAGAGAAATGACCTTGTCTAATAAGGAATTTACATAAATAGTCATTACCTAATAGCAATTATAGATGTTTCACAAAATTACAAAAACGGTCTATATGTTTCAGAAAACTACATGAATGATCCCTACTCGATTTAATGAAATGGTCCATATGTCTCATAAAATTACAGAAATTGCCACTTTTTAATAGCGAATTTACCGACATGGTTCCATGTTTCACAAAAAATTATAGAAAGATCGTTACATAAATATGTCAAAAAATGTGATCAATAAATTCCTCGCAACATACGGCCATCCTACCAGTTTAATTACATGAGTTAGTAAAATATAAAATATGGTTGCATAGGCATGCATTTTACTCTTTTCTATCGGTTACTTTGGTAAATTGAAGTCTTTAACATTTTTGTTAGGAATATATAGATGTAAGATTTAAGTTCAAAATCTTTGCAGTATAGTGAACAGGTGAACAACTCATACACATTATGTTATAATAATATTTTGTTATTATGTAGTTATAAAAGGAAAATATAAAAAGGCAGCTTGAAATTAGTTGGCCATTTACAAGATCCATGAAATCCAACGAAAAGTTTTGTAGGAAACACTTTAAAAGGAATTGAAGTTTTTATATTCATGGATAACTTTTAAGAGCTATTTAATTGTATTTTACTTTTTTATCTTCTGTATAATTACTTATTGATAACTTTGATCGTATTTTCTTTGTCTTGTTTTTCTTTTTGTCATATATTCTAAAATTTTAAATTAACAATTCATTTTCCCTCTATTATTTATCAAATCAAATATTTTAAACAAAACAATAAAAGCAATATATAATCACAAATTATAGCATTTTGAATTATTTTATTAATTGAAGTCTTATAATAGTTCTTGTTGAAACTAAATAGATGTATTAAAAAGGATACTTCAAGATGCTTCGACTTGAAGTATACGGTTGGTGAACAATAATACTCCAACCATCATTATGTTCATTAATAAACTAGTTTAAGACATTGTGTGTACCACTATGCCTAATCAATTAATTTGTTTTACTATTATATCATATATAGTCAGGCCCGATCCTGATATTTCGAAGGCCTTGTGCAAAAACTAAAATGATGCCTCACAAAAATTTCTTGTAAATATTATTAACTACATTTGCTACCACTAATTCAAAACATAAAGTTGCTAAAAAACATCTCATAAATTCACTACTACAAAATAATGTCTTCATCAGTCATTGGTAATCAAATAAAACTGTAAAACTGTTATAAACAACTTTTCAACAAAAAAAAAAAAAAACAACGCATTACTATTTTCTAAACATTGACCTTCTAGCATTTTTAGAAGAAAATTCATCTATGAGACTTTCATAATCAATATTCTCAAGAAACTCGTTCTCAATCGAAATCAATGTCAAAGCGTTTAATCTCTCTTGAGACATGGTCGAGCGTAAATAAGATTTTAAAAGCTTTAGTTATGAAAAACTTCTTTCCGCTGATGCAACTGTAATAGGAACAGTCAACAATATTCTGTATGCTAGACAAGAAACTGGATAAGTGTTCATCATTTTTAGGAAATTTAGTATTCCGTTAGGTGTATTGTGTTCAACCGGTAAATGTTTTTGTAACAACTCCAGTTTGTTGAATAAATCATCAACATTAATGTCTGAGATATGACCATTTTGCAGCCTCTTTTCCAGATTTTTGCAACATGACTTTAACTCGCTAGTATTCATTGACTTCAACTTTTCTGTTGTGAATAAGAAACCAAAAATGTCTTCATATTGTTTGTATTGTTCAAACCTTCGCCCCAATGAACCAATAGCTTGATCAACTATGTACACAAAATATTGAATCCTAAATGACTCTTGAGGTGAAAGTTCATGTACCGGCTCTGATGACCCAATGTCATTCTCATCAAAATGTCTTTTTTTTTTAACAATTTTCTTTTATTATTTTTCTCAACAAACACTGGATAAATTTCCAAATCAGAAGCTATAGCTCTCGCATAATCCAAAGCCTTCCCAAACCCATTCTCTCGATAGTCTTTAAAAAACTCAATAAGTGCTCCCACACTACTCATTGCCTCATCAATATGGATAGTCTCAGACTGAAGTTGTTTGCTCAGGTTATTTACTTTAGCCAATATATGATACCATATAACCATACCTGTTATAAAGTCAAATCTGCCAAGTTCATACTCTGCTAGACAAGTAGCTTCACTTATGATCTTTATGTCTGTCTCTTCTTCAACAAGTTTATGCAGAGCTTTTACTATTTCAGGAGCTTGAGTAACTATTGCTTTCACACTTTCAATCCTACTTTCCCACCTTGTAGTTGACAATGATTTTAAAGTGAGACTTTGTTTCGGTAATTAAAACACATCGGAGGCCAAATGTTAAAACGCATCTAAAATTGGAACCAAAAGTTATCGGGCTAATTTTATTTATTGATAAAACATAAAAATAGATTTTACAAAAATACCAATACTATAACTATAAATTATCCTAAAAACTGGAGGCCCCCTAAAATCGGAGGCATGGTGCGACCGCACCGCCGGCACCATCCCAGGGCCGCCACTGTATATAGTTGTTAAAAGTCGATAACCTGCAAACTTTATTTCATGTATGTAAGTACATAATACACTTGTATTTGTGTGAGTACACATAACATTTTGATTTCAGAATTTGGGGTCAAGATTATATTTTGGGATGGTTTGAGAAGGTTTCTTTTATTATGGTGATTAATTGGTAAATCATTGAGGATAAAATCAAAGTGGGTTGATAATAAATCCGGATAACCATGTAGTTCATTTTCATTAAAGTGTATTTGACCTTATGTCTTGCAAAAGACAAATAATTCCACAGGATCATCCAAAACTACACTTTTTTTAACGATAATCAAATACATTATCTATTATCAGAATGTTATTTAAAAGATAACCAAAATAAAATATATATATATATATATATATATATATATATATATATATATATATATATATATATATATATATATATATGTTCAGGTTCATTTGAGACCATGCTAATTTTGTGAGACCGTGAGACCAAATCTAAAAATAATTTTAAAATGCAAAATAAAAGAAAAAATTTGAAATTTTTTTTTTTAATTATTATTTTCATCACTTTAATCACCTAACAAAAAAAATTACCGTTTTTTTTAAATACGTGAAATATTCTAATAAAATATTACACTGTAAATATTCTAATGTAATTCTTAGAATGTTAGAATATTCTACTAGATTTGTCAAATATGTAAAATATTCTAATATTCTACTAGAATATGTAAAAAATAATTTATTTATTTTTATTTTTTTTAATTTTTTTGGTATTTTTTTAATTTTTTTTTGAAAATATAAATGACGAAAATAATATTTGAAAAAAAAATTTCGAAAATTTTCAATTATTTTGCATTTTAAAAATGTTTTTTTTTTATCAAAATGAGTGGCTAGGATTGCGTCTCACGGTCTCACAAAATTAGGTCGTCTCACATGAACCGAACCCTATATATATATATATATATATATATATATATATATATATATATATATATATATATATATATATATACTCACCAGGTTTTCCAACCTGACCCACTCAGTTTCTTTGTATTACAGGTATCGATACGAAAGTATGTTTGGATCTGATGAGAGATAAAATAAAATATAGATCATTAGATATTGTAAGGCCGCCAATGATTATGTTTATGCTTATGTTCATTGTATCAGTTATGACATCCCAAAGTTTCTAATAATCAGTAAAAAACATTTCTTCGGGAATACTTTTTATGGGACAATTTCCGCATTTATAAATAAACTCTGTTTTAAAATAAGCATAAACAAAAATGTCTTTCCAAACCATAAAAAAGGATGTCACATAATGTATGGAGGTTGGGTAGTAGTTAGGTTAAAGAACATAATGAAAAATCTATATGTTGAAGAATCATTATGTAATGATGTTTTCTAATAACATGTGATCCTATAGTGTCATCATGACACCCACAACGATATATAAGAGGAACATAGAGAGTTTGAAGTGGTCATTGGGTAATTTTCAAAAAAATCTCAATATTTTGATCAAACTAACGAAAAAGGACAGGATACTGGCTAAAAAGGGTTTTTTCGAAGTTTTAGCCGGTATTTTATGTTTTTTTGTAAACAAAACTTAGTTTGAGACTTTTTTCATAAATTTGACTTAAATATTAGGACTTTTCTGATAATTCATTATATAAATACCTTAAAATCTAACATTTAATTATATAATAAATCACACAAAATTGTCAAATTATAATAACACATAATGGACTTAAATTTCCACAAGAACAGATTAAAATGTCACAAATTAGAAATTAATTCGAATAAATAATGTCTAGTTTCTATTACAAGAGAAGCAAGTAAACCTTAAGAATTTGTGTTTTAAAGATAGCTATGTAGTATCCAAAACGCCTGAAAATGCTTGTTGATGAAAATGTATTTTGAGTTACATACATTGTTTTAAGGGTGACCATATTAACCGAAAAGCCGAATCAAAACCGAATTATCCGATATAATCGAACCATTACTAAAAAAGATTGTGTGATTTCTAACTTGTATTAATCAAAAACATATGGCTCGGTTATGGTTTTCATGTGAAACAGAAACATTACCAACTGAACCGAACTAATAGCTTTAATATTAATATAAAATTATAATTATAAATATATCATATAAGGAATGAAGAATTTTCGAGCTTTTTTTTATTAAAAAAAGTTTAAAGCTCCCAACAGCTTCATACTGAACACGTCTTATGTATGTAATCTTTCTTTTACTGGTAAATTAAAATCATGCATACATAAAATATGATTGTGACCCTCTCTACTCTCCCTAATTCTTTAATCAATAATCTATAATGTATATCAATTATTAATCTATATTGTATATCGATTATTGAGTATTAATTGGAAAACAGAGAATGGTATTAAATGAGAACTTTAAAACAAATAACATTATAAAGTCAACTTTATGTTTTTCGTCTTTATAGCAATGTCCTTTCTTGTTTTCACTTTTTATAGCAACATACTTCCTATTTTTTTCTTTAAATTTGAACAATTATGGTTAACCAATATTAACACATAACTAAATATGAATTAATCAACTAAATCGATATATTTTTTTGGAACGGCGGATAAAACCTCCACCACCTCCGAAATACCATAGCCCTATTGAAAGAGAAAAGACTACCAATCCCCAATCCTCCTTCATCCCTGAAAGCTATAACTCTTTCCCATCTAACCCAATGCATACGATGTTCATCCCCGTATGCACCCCAAAAGAATCTCGCCCTCATTCCTTCTAAAGCCTTCAAAACCGAAAGAGGAGTAACGGACATCAAGTAACTCCCTAACGAACCCAACACATACTTCACCAACGTAAGCCGACCTCCAAATGAAAGACACTTAGCCTTCCAATTCGAAAGCTTAGACCAAAAACTATCAATCACAGAAACCCAAGAAGAAGTTCGAGTCATAGCCTGACCCACTAGGATACAAAGATGGGAAAACGGGAGAGTAGAAGCTGCACAACCAATCTTATTTGCCACAACGAGAAATTGGGAAAAAGGAATTCTCACACCAATCAACTAAATTGATATTAATTGATACCCAATGCTACTATTGCTACTGCATAGGGTTTAACCGATATGTTTGGTTACAGTTCAGTTTTGACCGATAACAGTACCAAATCGATTCACACTTACCACACATTATTTGTTAAGAATCTCTTTACAAAGGCTATGAAATGTTGAACTTTGAGAGAATAGATGTGTAGTATTCACCGGACGAGTTTATTATCTAAGACATTAAACACTTAAGAGAACTTTGTGACTGAGAGGCAAAAAAGAACCAATGAACCGATTTCAATCTAAATGTATAGGTAGCGAGCCAATGAAGTTGTTGTGAAAGAATGTTGGATTCATAGTGTTTTTATCATCTTTTGTTCAATAAATTTCAAAACTACATTATTTGGTAAATAAGTTTTGTAATTACCATTTTTGGTTAAAAACTCAAACATAATTACTTATTTGATCCATCCGAGAAAAATATATACATGTTGGTTCCAATTTCAACATGTAAACACATTTTAAAGGGTTGGTTTTGTATTAAACGAAATTGAAAAATGAAGTTGAAAAGTAAACAATCCTTCTAAAATAAAAAACGGCGTCAGAGGCCGTTTACTTTAAACCATGTCTGCTGACGTACGTGGAATATGACCCACAAAAAGCCAGCTGTGTTTTCCCTAAAAAGTTAGGTATTGGGTTCTTCACTTCTTCAAAAATCCCCCAAAACCTTTCAATCAAATCAAATCGATTTCGAATCGAGCTTAATCCCCAAGCACACACACACCAATCTCTCTGCTCAAATCATGGCGGTAAGTTTCAATCTCTCAATCTTTTCATTTAGTAAAGATTTGAATGTATAACTCGCATCTATAATCTATTGCCAGTGGACTTTGTTAGATTCGTTCGTTTTGAACTTTTGATTTTGCAACTCGCGATTGCTGCGTGTTGTTTCTGTGTAATTTAGAGGACGCTGTTTTTGATCGAATTTGTTCTCGTTTCCAAATGATTTACACTTCGGTCGATTAGAAAGTGAAATCGATTAGGCGTGTAGGATAGGATGTATCAGTTTTCAATAGATTCATTTGGCGTATTCTATTTGGAATTACTCGCCGATTTTCACTTGTACATTTGATGTGGATTTCGTAGAAAATGTTTTCTCTTGATTACGTACAAGTATCATTAATGCAAAAGTGTTTTGGTATTAAGAATTTTGCGAAAGATGTTCCTAACTTCGCTTTTGGTAAGTGTTAGGTTTGACATAAAAAGTCAAAATCCAACCTATCTATTAATTTGAAGCATGCTCTTCTTTGTTAGGCTGTTATTGTATGACTCATTTTGGTTCTTTTCAAAGAACATAAACATATAGAAACAATCTCAAGAGCTAGAGTTGTCATCATCATCTCAACAACATAAGATGGAAACTTTAGGATCTTTTGATAAGTTTTTTTTTATTGATTTTGGATCAGATAATTAATTTGACATAATAGCTAACAAGGTAAAGGTTGAATTGAATATGTAGGAAAAAGGTCCACCATTGCCAAAGTTTGGTGACTGGGACGTGAATGACCCTGCATCAGCTGAGGGCTTTACAGTCATTTTCAACAAGGCTAGGAATGAGAAAAAGACAGGTGGCACATCCGACTCACCACCTAAAAATGACTCCACATATAACAAATCTGGGACAGCTACTCTTGGGAAACCTCAATCTGTAAGCAAGCGTCTTTATGCATCTTATCAAGAAATGGAATTCTTCATTCCATTCCCCTGTTTATTCCATTCCATTCCATTGTATGTAGTTATTTACACATAACATAATACTTTTATTTTGCAGAAAAAGTGGTTTTGTTGCATGGCATGAAAAGTGATGATGATGATGATGAGAGACTACTTGTATCTTATTGCTTCTCCAACCTTGAATTCTTTCTGATTATTATTATTATTATTATGCTTTCATTTTTTATTTTCATGATAATGTAAAACTAAAACCTTCAAAACAAACAAAACTATATATGTTCATGTTGTGAACTTGTGATTGCCTTTATTAACTATCTCTTTCCTTTTTTTCTTTAATTTCACACTTTCAAATTCATTTATTTTTTAACAAACAAATAATTATTCTCCAACTTGGAATTTTTTTTTACAATACAATAATAATTCTCAAAATTGTTTTAATTACTAAACTCTTGAAGTTCTGAGTTTTCTTTCAAATAAATGTCGAAGAAGATAAACTTGAAGAATGCTTGCTCCTATCAGAGCTGCTGATTCAATTATAGCCTTGTGAACTGCTCTTTTACTCATTCCTTCATTTACTGCATTCAAATTTAAATAATAAAATCACCATTTTTTTTAATGTTTTTATCAGAAAAAAAATCGATAGCAACAAAAAAAAATTATAATTAGAAAGTGATACCTATTGCCTGACGATCGGTTTCAGCTTCTAACCAATGTTGCTCGAATTGAATATTGTAAAGGGCTTCCTCTAGTCTTGATATTTGTTCAAATAAGGGAGTAAAATGCTCTGAAAATAAATTATAGGAGTAACAAACAAAAGTAAATATAAATTGAATTATGAAAGAATTGATTTCAAAAAATTTAATGGGTGATGAGTGATTACCATCTTTGGCATGTTGATCATGGTATGCAAGATGGGAAACATGAACATCAAAGTCTATGGTTTCATGATGTGGTGATTTGTTTGTAAAGCAAAATCGATATACGCCTTTTCTTGGAGCCAAAAACTCGTATTTTTCACTAGTTCTGTCTAGTAGTTCGTGTATATGTTCATCTCCAGGACCTTTTATCTGTATTTTAACAGTAAATTAAAACATAAAAGACACCGTTAAAACATAAAAAAAAACACCATTTTAACCATTTTTCAAATAAATATATATTTTTTACAATCAAAACCACAAGGTCGACTTAAATTTTCAGTTTTGTCTATTTATTTGTTTTTTTTTTCTGAAAAAAGTTATCAAATGTTCTGTCTTTTTCTTTTGAAATTTATGCAAAAAAAAGTCTCTTTATTTTGATTTTTTCTTATAAAGTCCTAAATCTTTTTTTAACAGAAATGTCTCGTTTATTTAACATTTTGCTTAAATTTTTTATTTTAATAGAAAATGACAGATTATGTGATTTTTTCGAAATAATTAGACTTTTAAGTTAAAAAAAAGTTTAGAACTTTATCAAAAAATTTCTCAAAATAATGAGACTTTTCTGCATCAAATCATTTTTCTTTTATGCAAATAACATCTTATGTTTATTTATAAACCAGGTAAATAATCTAAAAATATTAAAATGGTATGTCTTGTCTTTTATACAATTAAGACCCATAATGTAAATTACTTGCTTATCAACATGAATTTGAGAAGTACTATGATTGAACCTAACATAAGCACAAAAACATGAATAGGACAACGAAGAATGTTAGTTTTTTTTTTTAATGAAAATTTCATAAACCAGGCAAACTGTACAAAACATAAGCTATAAAGTTTCAAAACGACAAGATGAAGGAACACTAAACATATATGCGATGATGTAATAAGAAAAGAAAGGAATGTTTTATAAATAAAATTACCACAAGATCAACACCATCCTCTGCAAAATGCCACATCGTTTCTGACTTAATTACAACAAACGCCACATGAACATTATCGCCTTCGTATTCAACGTTGTGAGACAGACACTCGTCTCTGTCAATCACGAATCTAATCCCGACAACCTCGTTGATCAATAACATCGACCAAACAACAGCAATCGTTAAAATTCTCTTGCATCTCATTGCTTCAAACTTAGATATGTATTACGATGATTGAATAAATTCAAACAACAATGAGAAATGAGAAGAAGAATCGATGAATCGAAGTGTAGAAACGAAGAATCGTGATGAACGGAGAGATCTAATTTAGGATCGAGAGCTTACCGTTGTTTTTAAGGAAAGGCAGTGTAGTACTTGCGGAGAACTCGACCATGTCGTTTTTAAAAGTTATGTTTGCTCAAGAAACCTTGCACTTTCATGTATTTATAATTTGCACCCTTGGAACCTATTGGGTTGTGAAGAGTGATGTATGATACGAATACGATGGTCGTTAAAAAACTTCTCTAATTTGGCCATTGATAGTTATTCTGATGTGTGAACCAACCACCAAGGTATTTTACTTTTCTTTGGGCTAAGTACTTGCCAACCCATTCACATGGAAGAGGTGGCGTTGTTCTTTGACAATGGTTTGCGCAGGCGATTGAGGACATTGTGGTTTGTAGTGGTCATTTCTTTGACGACATACAATGGTGAATTACTTCCCTACCCATTAGGTTTGGTGGTTTGAGTTTATACTCGGTAGTAGAGGCTACCTCTTATGCTTTTGTTGTCTCAAATGCCCAATCTTGGGTATTGCAAGACAACATCTTACTGGATAGCGACATATATGGTATGATTTCTGATTATGTTTGTGCCTTGACTTCTCTTCGTAACAAGCTTTCGGATATGCTCGTTGGGTTTGGCCAACATATGTCTCTCGTAGAGTATCCTACTATCCTCAAATATCGACTCATGATCCCAATATTCCCAGCTGACGAGATATGACCGGTGTTATGTCTTTATTTTCAACCTAAAAAATTTTATTTTTATTTATTAATATATTCAATTACATCAGAGTATAATGTGGAAACATGATTGTGAATACGCGTATGTACAATCGAACATTTTCCTTCTCACGAATCAATGGAGTGCCTGAAAAACATTTGTAACAAATGGGTAAGCGTTAGGCTTATTGAGTTCCCCAAAATACCATATACCACAATACATATACAATGCATACACATAATGGCTTTCAACATAAAGTTGGTCCGCCCTTTGGCCTTCAGCACAAATTTGGTCTGCCCCTTTTTGCCTTCAACATATAGTTGGTACGCACTTTGGCCTTTAGCATAATGCTATTGTTAGTATAGGGTCTTCGTTTTCCTCTTGAGAATGGTTCCTGTAATGAAAAGATTAGCAGCAAACGATGTGGCTGAGGCTCGAGTTGGACTCGATTCCCTTAAACAGATTCGCCGTCTGTTCCCAGGGTACAACAACCTTAGCAGTATTGTGTACTGCCGGATATGACGACTTGCCTGAAAGAATCGCTGGAAGCAGGAGTACAGAGAAGGAGGAAGAAGAAGAGTATTTTCATCCGTGTGTTTGAATGAGACGGCCAAGGTCTTCTTTTATAGTTGAATCTTGAAACGGAAACAAATCACTAATTGATTGAGCGTTTAATGGTAATAAATGTCATTAATTACGCAATTAATGCATCCGTTACAGAATTCAAAAATAGGGACCAAAACTGTCAAGTTTAGCAAATAGTTGAATCTTGAAACGGAAACAAATCACTAATTGATTGAGCGTTTAATGGCAATAAATGTCATTAATTACGCAATTAATGCATCCGTTACAGAATTCAAAAATAGGGACCAAAACTGTCAAGTTTAGCAAAAACGAGGGTAGCGCGCGCCCGAGTTTTCGGAGCTGCATTCGTGTCCGCAGGCCGCGCCCATGCACGAGTTCGGTGTTTTTGGTCTACGGAACCAAGATTTGCACCCCCCTGCGCGCGGGTAGGAATTGTAGCATAACCATAGACACAAGCTTGTAAGCCTTCCATGCAATGAAGCTTATAAACCTTGTTGAGTTTGGTCTCTCTACCAATGTGGGACTCATTCCCACATTCCTCTCTTTTGCTAAACTTATTCTCAAATACCCATCTTTGAGTATCTATATCTCATTCACTTATACTCTATTTTGGACATATAATATATCGTTTCGAAGTCCTCATGGAGGAGAACACAAACCCACTTAGAGTTCGTTATATATACAACATAGGTATATATTTATATATGTCCAAATTTATACTAAATTTCCAACAATCCCCCACATGAATGGAGATCGATCTCTGCACATCCAATTTCCAAACGAAATTTTCAACAGTTGAATCCTGCATAAGATAGGTAGGTATTACCCTTTGAACCCTCCCTTAAGAAGTTACACTTAATCTCCTAACAGTTAGTAGATCTCGATGTCTTTGAACTAAGCTGCCATTTATGTAGACGACAATGTAAATCTCACAGGATTCTCCCTGACAAGGTCATATCCTCATAGACGTGTTCGTTTTGGTCATAAACACTAGCCTGGTTCTGCAAGAGCTTTAGGAATTGTGCCCCTATAATTCCCCTCGAAGCGACCCCACTTCTCTCTCACATAGGTGATTCCAAGAATCATTAAAAACCATATGTTTAGCCTAATTTTATCACTACATATAGGAATGGACTAGGAAGTCATGTTAACTCTCCGCAGTGACATGCCTCACTCATACAGTTAGGTTATCCTTTTGAACCCAGATCTTGGGATCTCCAGTCTTCTGGGTAAGGTTTCCTTCGTATGAATTTATTCATTCATGGGCTTTAGTCCCATTCCTCTTGACGACTTATAAACTACATCTCTATTTAAGCCTTTTGTAAGCAGATCCGCAATGTTATCCTTTGACTTCACCCAGTCAACCGTGATAACCCCCGTAGAGATTAGTTGTCGTATTGTTTTATGTCTACGTCTAATGTGCCTTGATTTCCCATTATACATTGTACTTTGAGCTCTACCAATTGCCGATTGGTTATCACAATGTATACATATGGCCGTTACCGGCTTAGGCCATTCGGGAATGTCCTCTACGAATTGACGTAGCCACTCCGCCTCTTCAGCACAAATATCTAAGGCGATAAATTCAGATTCCATCGTGGATCTAGATATAACTGTTTGCTTGGATGATTTCCATGCTACAGCAACACCTCCAAGTGTAAACACATATCCACTTGTAGATCTGGAATCTTTTATGTCAGATATCCAATTTGCATCTGTGTATCCTTCGATAACTGCTGGATGTCTGCCATAATGCAGTCCATATTCTCGCGTGTATCTCACATACCTCAGCAACCTAGTAATACTCTTCCAGTGTTCAGAACTGGGTTTACTAGTGTATCTACTTAGTCTGCTCACAGCATATGCTAAGTCAGGTCTGGTACAACTCATTAGATACATCAGACTGCCAATAATTCTTGAATATTCCACTTGATTAACACTATCACCTCTATTTTTACGTAGATGTTGACTAGTGTCAATTGGAGTTCTAGCTATGCTAGTGTCTCCCTTAGCAAATTTTTCAAGAATTTTATCCACATAGTGTGTTTGACTTAAAATCAAACCACTTTGGGTTCTTGTGATCTTCACTCCAAGAATCACATCTGCTAAACCCATATCTTTCATGTCGAACCTGGATTTCAACATATCCTTCGTGGATCTTATTATCTTGTCATCACTACCAATGATAAGCATATCATCGACATACAAACACAAGATGACATAACCATGAGTGGTGTTTTTCACATAGATACACTTATCACACTCATTGATTCTAAAGCCACTTTCCATCATGACTTGATCAAACTTTTGATGCCATTGTTTAGGAGCTTGTTTTAATCCATATAGAGACTTAACAAGTTTACAAACCTTGTTCTCTTGTCCCGAGGCAATGAAGCCCTCAGGTTGCTCCATATAAATTTCTTCTTCCAACTCCCCATTTAGGAAAGCCGTTTTTACATCCATTTGATGAACTTGCAAGTTTCTGATAGCTGCAATGGCAAGAACTAATCTAATGGATGTTATCCGCGTTACCGGCGAATAGGTATCAAAGTAGTCTAGACCTTCCTTTTGTCTATAACCTTTGATTACTAGTCTTGCCTTGTATTTATCAATACTGCCATGAGTTTCATCTTTCTCTTAAAAATCCAACGGTAACCTAGTGGCTTGCTACCTGGAGGTAGATCCACTAGTTCCCATGTGTGATTTTGTAAGATAGATTCTACCTCATTTTTGATGGCTTCTTTCCATTGAGGTCCCTCAGAAGAAGTTACCGCCTCTTGGTAGGTTTTAGGTTCACTTTCCACCACATAGGTGAAGAAATCATCACCAAATGATTTTTCAACTCTAGCCCTCTTACTTCTTCTGGGTTCTATCTCTTCCTCCTCGGATTGAGCTTGTTCTTCCTCTCGAACAGCTTCGTTGTTTGGTAAAGATGGGCTTTCAACTTCCTTGTTCAAACAGGGAAACACATCTTCAAAGAATGAAGCATTCCTTGATTCCATTATGGTATTCTTGTGTATTTCAGGATTCTTAGAATCATGCACAAGAAACCGATAAGCACTACTACTTTGTGCATACCCAATGAATACACAATCCACTGTTTTAGGCCCTAACTTTTGTACCTTAGGTGGTGGCACTACAACTTTAGCTAGGCACCCCCACACTCGTAAGTACTTATACGATGGCTTTCTTCCCATCCAAAGTTCATACGGTGTTTCATTCTTTTCTTTGCGAGGTATCTTATTTAAAAGATAGTTAGCCGACAAAATAGCTTCCCCCCACATTGACTGGTTTACACCCGAACTAATTATCATGGCATTGACCATTTCTTTCAAGGTACGGTTCTTTCTTTCAGCAATCCCATTGGATTGAGGTGAATAGGGTGATGTGAATTCATGACGAATTCCATTTTTAGCACAAAAATCAGCATATGGAGAAACATATTCCCCACCCCTATCACTTCTAACCACTTTAATTCTCTTGTTGAGTTGATTCTCAACTTCATTTTTGTACAAGACAAACTTGTCTATTGCTTCATCTTTACTCTTAAGTAAATATATGTAGCAATATTTCGTGCTATCATCGATGAATGTAATGAAGTATTTGTTCCCACCTTGAGTAGGAATTGACTTTAGATCACACACATCAGTGTGAATTAAATCAAGAGGTTCGGTGTTTCTTTTGATTGTTTGGAAAGACAATCTAGTTTGTTTGGCTTCAACACATGTGTGGCATTTGTGATTTGAGTCAATATTAAGTTTTGGTATGTATTCTAGTTT